GAAGATGTAGGCGACATTTTCGCAACTAATTTAACACAAATTAAGCCTGTCAATGAAAAATTTACGCAGTTTTGTGATTATCTCGTTGATAATTATATTGCAGAAGACTCATCATTTCCACCGTTTTTCTTCTTTGCAGAGAACCACCAATTGTTGTGAGTCTTTTCATTCGAAATATAATGCTTCCTTTTACTCCGCTCACCCTAATGTGAATGTTGAGTGATTTAAATCAACATAAAATAAATAAATTAGACTTTATTAAAAGAATTTCGTATAAATTTAGAGCTAAGTTGTAATTATATTTTACAGTTTTAATAAACATTTAAATATGTAGTTGTTGTTGAATTATTGCCCATTAGACAATTTTTTTTTTCTAAATATGGCAGAAATGCAGTTTGGACTTATAATGGAGATATTTATGCAACAGTTAATGGACAGAGAAAGCGTCTCCAAAACTCTACTGATTTTTCGTCATAAATTAGATTATTTTATCGATACGGTACAGGTACTTTCACCAGAAAATTAAAGTGTCGTTGTTTTGATCCTTTATCTGATTTTGTTTTTTTCTGTTTTTATGTATACTATGTTAACATGGGCGGGTATTATTATTTTTATTTTAAACTTTATAAATAATAGGAATTTTTATTGTTTGCTTTTTTTATGAATGTAATTTAATTTTTTAATTCATTATGAAATAAATTTTTGTAGGAGCTGCAATAAGAGTGAGATAACTCGTGTTTTCGTAGGCATTAGGGTTTATTGTTTTTTTCTTCTTCTTTTTTTGCATAAGTTCTTTTTTGTACTCTGTATTTTGTAATAATCACCATATGAAATATATTTCACTTGCTTTCTATAACGCCAGGTCTTTAACTTCTAAGTTTCTAGATTTAAAAAACTATCTACTCGAAAAAAAATTTGATTTAATGGGTGTTTCTGAAACATGGTTAAAACATGATATTTCTAATGAATTTATAAAGATTGATGGATATAATTTAATAAGGCAAGATAGGGGAACAAGAGGAGGCGGTTTAGCTATTTATTTAAACTCGACACTAACATATGAAATTTTACCTTTTAGTAATATTTCTGATAACCTCGAGCATCTTTGGATTAAAGTTTTGATAAATAGAAACTGGTATATTTTTGGTGTTATGTATAGACCTGCGGGTAAGAATATAACTGAATTTTTGGAGACTCTTGAAGATACTTTATCTCAACTGATTCTGATAGGAAATGACATATTTTTGGGTGGTGATATTAATATTGACATTTTAGACGAATCCAGTGTTTCAGAGAGAGTTTTAGCTATTATAGATTTATTCAACTTAAAACAGATTATAGATCAACCAACTAGGATTACTAGAAATTCGAGAACTTTACTTGATGTTATTGTCTTACCTCAAAATATTGATGCTGTTAACTGTGATGTTCAATGTTTACCTAGAGTTTACAATGCAACTCAATCAGATCACTGCTTGACATACTGCATTCTAAATTTAAAATTGCCCGAGAGTCCAGTCAAGATCATTAAAATTAGAAATCTAAAAAGAGTCGACCCTATATTATTGCAACATTTTTTAGAAATCAGTAATTTCGAAAATATTTACTTTATTGATGATCTAACCGAAAAGGTAGATTATTTTAATGCTATTCTGTTAAATATTTTTGATGTCTTAGCACCAGTAAAATCTATTAATACAAAGAAACGGAAACCTGGCTGGCTTACAGATAATTTAAAAATCATGATGTCATTGCGTGATAAAGCTCTTCACAAATATAAGAAAACACAATTACTACACCATTGGGAGTATTATAAAACAGTTAGAAATTTAACTAATAACGCAATTAAAACTGAAAAAAAAGCTTATGTGGAGTTCTATATTAATAATTACAAACATAATTCTAAGCTCGTCTGGTTTAAATTAAGAGAAATAAATGTTTGTGGTAGAACGTCACACAAATGTTTGCCTTCAGATATAGCCGACAATCCGAATGAAATTAATAATCATTTTTTAAACATATCATCAACAAATAACCCTCCAGATCAAAACTTAATAAACTTTTATAATACCAATCATAAAAACAATTTTCCATATCTCTTCTCTTTTTCTCCCGTCAATCAAACAGTTATATATAAATATCTTCTAGAAATTAAGTCTAGTGCATCAGGTGCTGATCAAATTAATATTGAGATGTTATTACATTGCTGTCCCTTTATTTTACCCATAGTAGCTCATATTATAAATTGTTGTCTGTTACAATCTATATTTCCAGATACTTGGAAACTCTCAAAAGTATTTCCTCTACCAAAGAAAAAAGACGTAACTAATATGAACGATTTAAGGCCCATTTCTATTTTGCCAGTCCTTTCTAAGGTTCTGGAAAAAATTATGAAGTATCAAATTACTATACACATTAATAAGTATGCATTATTGCCAGCAACTCAATCGGGTTTCAGAAAAGATCATAGTTGTACTACAGCACTTCTAGACATCACAGATAACTTATTAAAGAATATTGACAATGGTAAAACTTCTGCACTCATCCTCCTGGACTATTCAAAAGCTTTTGACACCATCAATCATGAGATCTTGTTAAGTGTTTTACACTTTTGTGGGTTTTCACCAAAAGCTATTGATCTTCTCAAAAATTATCTTCAAAATAGACGGCAGTACGTAGAAACTAATACTGGCTCATCCAATACTAAAATAATTTCTCGAGGAGTGCCACAAGGTTCCATTTTGGGTCCTATCCTCTTTTCTCTTTATTCGGCTAATATTACCAGTTGTCTAGAACACTGCAAGCCATTTTTGTATGCCGACGATACACAATTGATGTATTCTTTTGACCACTTTGATTTTGAAGGAGCACAAGAATTGATAAATTATGATCTTAATTTACTAGCATCTGAATCAACTAGACACGAACTAACCATTAATCCTTCTAAATCAATCGTGCTCTTCTTTGGAAAGTACCGTCGTCAGATGGAGGAGAGAATCAATATTTCTCTAGCTGGTAACGATATTTCGTATTCGAGAACCGTAAAAAATTTGGGACTAGATCTAGATACTGAATTAAATTTTAAATCGCAAGTGAACAAGTGTTTAAAAAGAGCCTATTCTAACCTTAAAATGTTATATCCTAATCGACATATTTTTCCTGAAAAAACTAAGATTCAGCTCACCGACTCACTAGTGCTTAGCCATTTTAATTACTGCGATAGTGTTTACGGACCTTGCTTAAATAGTACTGAGGAACGCCGAATTCAAAAAGTCCAAAATACCTGTTTGAGGTATGTTTATGGTATTAGAAAGTATGACAGAATATCTCACAAGTTGGCCAGTGCAAAGTGGCTCGATATGAAAAGCAGACGTAAACTCCATGCTGTAACTCTCTTCCATAAAATAATCCTTTTTAAAACTCCCCCATACCTCTACCAAAAGATTACATTCAGAAATGATATACATAATTTAAATGTAAGACATCGTGGCTTGATTTCTCCTCCATTACATCGCACTTCCATCTTCGAGCGATCATTTTCTTTTCAAATATACAATTTATATAATAAAGTTCCCGCAACTATTAAATTATTAAATTTATCAGCCTTTAAAAAGTCGTATAGGAGATTAATTAATTAGACTATAAACCGCTTAGCATTTATGTACTCATCCTCCTTTAAACAAAATATAATTTTGGAATTTGAGACCTGGTGTGTGTCGAGCGAGTGAAATATGTATTTTTTATATATTTTTATTTTTATCTCTTACAATTCATACATTGTAACTTATAGGTATAAAAACCCTTGTTTAGTTTCTACGTTTGCCGCCGTCTTCGGATAGTCTTCAAGTAGAGAGGATATAAGTACTTAAAACGATTTTAATATTTTAATACTTTTGTTAACTCTTGGGGCTATCCGGGGTTGGCGACTGGCGAACAAAACCATAACCGAGGGCGTCCACTTTGTATCAGTTTTAACTGTCTGGACGTTCTCTTTTTGTATTTGCGTAATTATTTTTTTTTTTATTGATGTAATTCTATTGTACACCGTAAATGCAAAATAAACTATTATTATTATTATTATTATTATTATTATTTACAACATACCTAGATTAATTAATAAAATAACAGAATTTACTAAAAAGAATCAATATTCTTAAAAACTTACTGGCTAAAAAATATTTTCTGAAAATGTTACTGACTGGATATAAAGAGCCTACGATAAGTGACCCTTACCTTATGGTCATGCAATTTCGTTGTGACCTTTTTTAAATCAGGTAGGAAACCCTTTTTTGGGATGCAGTTTCGTAAGATCTAGAAAAAAGATCCTTCAAGGTCAAAGACTAGTAGCAAGGGGAAATAGTTCTTTTGTTAAAGTGTACCAAAACGACATATTTAGCCAGTGATGCATAAGTTTTGATTAGGGCAACATAAAAAAAGTTGAATATACAAATTATTTCCTAATATACTGTTTTAATTTCAGTTCTTAAACTAGTTTCAGAATATTTTAGAATATGCAAAAAATAAATAGTTCAAAACATACATGAAAGATAGACCTACGGATAATATCAGATAATATCAATTTTACTAATGTTTTAATATTGCTTATAAGTTATATGTAACTTCAGATATCAGCTAAATTCATAAATACTTCAAAATATTTAATTAGTGATGCAAAGAAAAAATTAATAAAAAACTGTGCGTTAACGCACCAATGGTAGAAAATGGGTTTTTGTTGAATATCTAGTTTGCGTAAGAACACTTTATTTCAAATGAAACCATCTTAAAGGGAGTTTATCAAAGGTCACTCTTTGGTCCCCAACTTATTTTTTTTTATGTATATGTAGGTATACATTGAAGAAAAAACTCTTGTTCCAGAGTTATAAAACATTTTCACTGTCTGGGACAATTTACCCAATAAGCGCATCCTCAGTTAACTCCTTGAAAAAACTAATTAGATCGGTGAGCTTTAAAATTGTATATAAATGGAAATAAACACTTACTTGGCATTCATAAGTCCCATTATCCCGTTTTTGAACATATTTGATCTGCAGGGTCCAATCGTCGGAACCCTCGGCGTGCAATATCTGGAACCGTTCATCGTTGGTATACGTGAATACTCCTGAAGACAGAATGTGCCAGTCTCTTCGTCGTACCCAAGAGACTTGCTGTAAAATAAAATATTATTTTATAAAGAAGACATTCTAAGTGCATCTGGTACGTTAATAACAATGTATAAAAACTAAGAAAAATAAATATGATATAGCTAAAAATTTTGTTTATTTTAATTTTTGATATGGTTTGTAAATTTGAGATAAGAAAATATTAATGAAAATAATGAGATACTAAGCGGATTGGATCTTGTATTTTTGAGGTTACCCACCTCTGTAAAGCAAATGCTTTTATTTCACAGTAACAGTTTATGTGGGTTGAAAGTTTTAATTGTAATAGTTTTAGCTAAGATTGAACAAAAATCGAAGTGATTTTCGTAGCAAATGCATGCATCAATTGATTGTAGTCTTAAATTGTTCGTGAGGGCAGAATTTCTGAGTCTTCTGATCTGAAATAGTAGTTTGTGCAATGCGAGTGGATATGATGGCCATATCACACGAAGGCGTAGTGCTCAATCGCCTGAATGCCATACAGACAATCCACTTGAGTACAGAATATTTTTTCTACGAACCACTAACAAAAATCTACAAATTTAAAATATTAATTTAGGATTTCAAGATAAAAATATTAATTTAAAAATAATTTGACTTTTACTAATTTATAAAATAAAATAAACATTCAAAAAATGTTTTATTTAATAAGTGTTCAACTCTAGATTTGAACCCCAGACCTTTCACATGGCAACTTAGTATACTATCTTCAGCTCTATCAAGACACATAACTTTTAGTTTTAATATTCCTAATTAAATTGATTCTATATAAATAAATCTTATTAAAGTTTATGATTTTTTTTATAAGTGCATTCGAATTCATAGGACCTGAACTGTTAGATAGCAATAGTCCAAAGTGTGTAAAGCATATAATTAAGTTTATGAGTTTAGAAAAAAGATATAATGAAAAAAAAAAAAAAACGTGTGACATATATTTGTCATATATTTATGTATGGTCTGTTTTAAATTAAACTGATTTACATTCAACTTATTCTATTGCATTTCCAACAAATGGTTATGGCTCAGGCCATTAGAGTTGTTTAAAAATAAGTAAAAATATTTTATTCAAATATGGCAAGCATTGAATCGAGCTCCGCAATGGCAGCCTAAAAAAAATTAACGACAGGGAAATTTCAAATGGCTGCATTACTGAAACATGATGGTCTCTGACAATGTATTTCTGGGTATCCTGCTAGTGATACAACGGACATTGCATTAAGAACGCGTCGTGAAGAGAAAGCTCTTTCAAAAACAATACTTTCTCTAGATAAATCGACATATCCATACGTTATGCAGGCGAATACAGCCACTGAAGCCTGGAAAGGACTTCACCGTCGTTTATGTTCAGTAAAACTTATAAACTTCAGTACAATGGAAGAGTACGTACACGAAGTTATGAGTTTAGCTCAGAAACTATCTTCAATTGGTAAACCAGTTGATGACGAATTATTGGGTGCAATTATGTTATAAGGTCTATTTGATGAATTTGTACCGATGGTAATGGCCTTAGAAAATTCGGGAGCGGAAATACCATCAGATTTTGTTAAAACTAAATTATTTCAAGACAAAAAATGGCAGAATGGGCATCACAGTGCTGAAAATTCCGCTCTTGTTACAAATAAATTTAACAAGAAATTATATTGTAGAAAAAAGGACACTATAAAAGTCAATGTCATCAACAAAAACAAGCCTCAAATGCAGAAGGCTCAGACAATAAGAATAAAAATAAAAATAGACGTGAATCTACTCTCATTGCTACTCTTGCGATAAATATAAAAAGAGCTGCTTGGTACATAGATAGTTGTGCTTCCTCACACATGGCTGGACAGAGAGAATTGTTGTTTGATCTGTCAAATATTCATTCTGTCCAAGAAGTTATTGTAGCCAATAATACAAAATTAAACGTTGAAGGAGTGGGTGATTCAACAGTCAACTTGAAAACAGATGGAACTAGTAAAATTATTTCTGGTGCCAAGTTTGTACCAAACTTATCAGTAAATTTATTGTCTGTTAATGCTCTCATATCCAGAGAATACTGTGTAACCTTTGCTTCTGATGGATTTAACATTTTTCATCAAGAAGATTGCCGTATTAAAGGAAAACCATTTGCTACTGCCTCAAATACCAATGGATTGTTCAAGCTTGACACGCTGGATGATATGGTAAATATTGTTAAAACAAATGATTTGCAAATACTATGGCACAAACGGCTAGGTCATCTTAATCACTACGGCATGAGTCTTTAAAAAAATGGACTTGCAATTGGTATAAATTATAAGGATTCAGAAACTCCCACTTATTTTGAAAGTTGTATCAAAGGTAAACTTGCCAGAAAGCCTTTTCCATATAACAAAATAAAGGGTGTAGCTAAAAATAAACTATATTTGATACATTCTGACCTCGTTGGACCCATGGAGGTAGAAATCTGGGGTGGTGCAAGATTTATACTTACTCTTATAGATGATCACTCAAGCAAAATTGTCTGTTATTTTTTGAAAACAAAAAGCCAAGTAGCAGATATTTTTGAAGAATTTTGTATTTTTGTGGAAACTCAGACTGAAAGAAAAATAAAGGTTTTGAGGATAGACAATGGAGGCGAGTATTGCAACAAAGAGTTGGATAGATTTTTAAAAGAACTTACCGTATTGTCCACAACAAAATGGTGTGACAGAACGATATAATCGTTCTATTTTTGAAAAAGTTCGTTCCATCCTGACTGAATATAGTTCTTAAAAAGAAATGTGGGCCGAAGCGGCCAACACTGCAGTGTATTTGATTAAAAGGTCTCCTACTAAGAAAATTCGTGGTGCAAATCCGGAAGAAATATGGAGCAGAAAAAAGATCTGTTTAAGTCACCTGAAGATATTTGGAATCCTTGCCTACGCCCACATACCCGAAATAAAAAGGAAAAAGCTAGACGAGAACAGTAAACAATACATATTCGTTGGTTGCTTCAAGTCCACAGTTGGTTATAGACTATTAGATCCTGTAAGTCATCGTCTTCAGCTTGCCCGCGATGTCATTTTCATGGAAGAGGATTACAGTGATCGTCCGAAGTGTTTAGGTACTGTAAAGTTAAACTTATCTTCGCTTGAAGAAGACGATGAAGACGAACCAATCGTAAACGATAAAATTTCGTCAAAACCGTCTACCGGCACTTGTCGGGAAGAGGAAACTGTAACACCTGGTCAAATTGAGTCAGATGTTTTTTGTACATCTCAAATGACTTTAAATTTTCCAGATAAAGACCAAATTGGCGATTTAACAGATATTATATCGAATTCTAGCCCTAATCATAATATTGTACGTAGGTATCCAAAACGAATTACACATAAACCAAAATTTTATGGTACAATAGATGAGGATTGTAATTCTATTGATTTTGCTATGTCACTTGTTTCGGATTTTAAACCTGTAACTGTTTCTGAGGCATTATCTAGTCCAAGAAAAAATGAATAATAATAATAATAATAATAATAATAATAATAATAATAATAATAATAATAATAATAATAATAATAATAATAATAATAATAATAATAATAATAATAATAATAATAATAATAATAATAATAATAATAATAATAATAATAATAATAATAATAATAATAATAATAATAATAATAATAATAATAATAATAATAATAATAATAATAATAATAATAATAATAATAATAATAATAATAATAATAATAATAATAATAATAATAATAATAATAATAATAATAATAATAATAATAATAATAATAATAATAATAATAATAATAATAATAATAATAATAATAATAATAATAATAATAATAATAATAATATTCTCCCTAATTCACCCCCTTACGAGTGAATTTCAACCCCTGAAGTCGACTAAACGACTTGTGTAGAGGAAAGGACGGCTATTATTATTATTTGCCGTGGCGCTCCGGGGCGACTTAAAGATGATTGATGGTGCCATTTGACTTACAGGTGAGGAAAACCCGGAAAACCTCACCCACCATCATCGAGACGGTAATGTATGGCGAATTTTTTTAATCTGCATGTCATATCAACAGAAATTGAATTTCTATTAATACGCCACACATCAAATCCTAAACCGAACCATGCAATTTAATTAAAAATCCACATGGTCTAGTCTGGGATTCGAAACCCAGCAGTCTCAGACTCATAAACTTGCCTATAAAAGAATATAAGCGCGATAGACCGCTACACTACCGTCCCGAATGGGAACTGGCTATTAAAAAAGAGCTAGATGTATTTAATATTAATATTACTTGTGAACTATTTGATATGCCATCTGATAAAAATATTGTTAAAATAAATGGGTATTCAAAATCAAAAGAAATCAAAATGGTGACATAGTGACTTATAAGGATAAGTTAGTTGCAAAAGGCTTTACTCAGAAATATGGTCTCGACTATACTGAAACCTTTTCCCTGTTGTCCGCTATAGTAATTTAAGAATGTTACTTGCTATGACTGTAGATTTAAATTTAGAAGCAGATCATTTAGATGTAGAAACCGCATTTCTGAATGGAGATATTGACAAAGAAACTTATATGTGTCAACCTGGAGGTTTCAAAGAGCCTGGTTCAGAAAATAAAGATTGTTTATTAAAAAAAGCAATTTACGGCTTAAAGCAATCTGCTAGAAGCAGTGCTTTTTAAAATAGGTTACCAACCATTAAAGCTAGATCCATGTATTTTCTTTAAAATATTAAAAAGCTTAATAGTAATTATTGCTGTCTATGTTGACGATTTTTTCTTTTTTTATAACGATTTGGAAGAGGCTAGAGTTCTGAAATTAAAACTGAATAAAGAGTTAAAGCCAATTTCACATTGCTTGGAAATAAAAATTGAAAGAAATCGTCTAAGATAAATTAAAAATCAGTCAAGAGCCAATATGTTTTAAAAATTCTTGATATTTTTAAGATGGTAGATTGTAAAACGGACACCTCTTGAACAAAATAATACATTTTCACTACATGGAGAATTGTATTAGACTTTCCATCAGCAG